GATTAATAGGATCAGTGGTGCTTAGAGTTTTGATTTAGAAGAAAATTTCACTAGCAGTTACCAAAATACGAGTTGTCGGAGGAAAAAAAAAGAACTGTCTTGCGGTACAATGCGAAAATATTTTGCGTTTGTAGAAGGAATTTTTTTTTGTTGATTTAGCCAAAATCTGGATTTGCTAATTACCCTTATCGCGATGTACGGTCTCAATCTACTTGAGCTCGCCGGTGAATGAGATGCTGATCACGGCTGCCGCTGTTGATGCACAATTTCTCGGCATCGGAAGATAGCTGGACGCGCCGTAAATCAGGTGTGTGTAAGGGTCATCCGAATATTCAACAGGCGCATAGCGATATTTGTCACGACCCCAGAGCAGTTGCTAGATTCTACAGTCGTCACCTAATTGATTGCTATTTTGAATGCGCGCAGACAGTTGCTAGAACGGATTGGCATAAAGGATTTAGAGCTCTAGGCCATGTGTAATAGCCAGGTGTGTGGCACGTCGGCAGATGCTATCTTTCCTAACAAATTGTATCGCAGATTTTGTACTGTAGCTACGATTGCGAGCAAGTCCAAGTCCAAAAATTAAAGAAAAATGCATTTGCGATCAAAAAAAATCTATGCAGCAACTCGCAATACACTAAAAATTACAGTACCGTCATGCGAAAACATTCTAAAGGAAAATATAAACCAGCGCAAAATTTCGGATGTGTTACATACAGGTGAATATACTAGAAATTCTGAAGAAAAAGTGATTTTTCTTGCTATTTTGAATTTATTTCTACACGAAGATTCTGAAGGAAAAAAAATTTGGCTCGGTTACGGCTACGTAAACTTATTGAAAAATCTATCCCGTCTTTTCATGCTTAGTATATTGCATACTGTCAACGATTTTTTTTCACGCATAGCTGCTTGATACGCGGTTGCGGCTACGCAACTGCTGAATCATTTTCTCACGGTAAGATAGAGCTAAATAATGCATTATTACTCAAAAAGTTGGGGACAAATGGGACTGCTCGTTAAACTATAGCGGATGCACCTCTGAGATAATTCAATCAAAGATCATCAATACATTTGGTGATACGGTCACTTTGAGATAATTCAATCAAAGACCGTCACTACATTTGGTGAATGAAATTTTTTTTAGTGCAAAAAAAAAATTTTTTTTACTCTAAAATGTTAGTTTTCCTTCAATGAAAGGAATATTTTTCCACACAGCACACTATTAGTCATCGTTGTTATCAAATAAATATAGAAACACTCACTTATTCGTTCGCTGTGACTTGGATGGAAGTTGTTGTCGATATGGATGTGGAGAGGTGGATGAATTCTATTTTTGTAGAAAAAAAATTTTTTTTGACTACTGCTCAAAAGAAAAAAAAATCTTCCCGGGACTTCCATGTCAGGTATAAGGTCTGCAGGTCCTTTACCTGATGTGTAGCGGGTTTACATAAGTCTTACTATAATATTTATTATAAATAGTTATATACAAAAGGGGAAAGGGGAAGGGGAAGGCCACCGGCTAGTGCTGGCGGCCGGAGGTCACTGCCAGAGGTTGGCTGTCTTAGGCCAACCTCCTTCTCGAGCAGCTGTTGTAGCTAGCTGCGTCCCGACAGTACACACTCAAAATAAAGAAGAAGCTCGCAAAATGGTTGTAAAACATGCATCGATTGTAATAGTTCATTGAAAACCGCGCTCATGACTTTGATTCGAATAATGGACACACTATTGGTAAGAACATTGGAATATAGCAGTTCCTCCAGTTTTGTGCGATTGCACAAACCAAGTCTGCATTACGTTGTTAAACGTAGCAATCAGAACTACAATTAAAAATATTTTCAGAGAATATTACTTGTAGCTGAATGGAGACTGTTTTCAGAGAACAATTCCCTTTTAACCGAAACGCTTCGCAGAAGAAATAACTTGTTGTTTGCCAAAAAAAACCTCAGTGCTTCTGAACATGTTCAGATATCCAGATTGATATTCTGATCAGAAGAAATGACCGCAATTTTTTTTTGAAAGGTGATCAACCGAAGCTGACAATAAGCAATGGAGGCACAGTTTTTTTGTCGCACCGAAATTCATTCTTGGGAATGAAAAAGAAACTGTTTAGAACATTTTACGTCACCCAGTTCTTATTTTTCCCTAGAAAAGGATGGTAATGATTCCTTTACAGATTTCAGCAGAATTCAGGAACAATCACACCATAAAATTTTCTATATCGGATCTGGACGTTGAAGAAACATAGATAGCTTTCTTAGATTGCAAATTAGTCGTGAATTACCACACATGATGTTAGGATCATTTCCGCTGAATTTTACTTATGACTCAAAAGTTACATATCGTAGTTTCTGCAGTGGAAACGTTCTGTTCGTATAATCTACTATGCCAAAATGTACTGTTAATACTTTTGTATAACTTGGTTTGCATTTTCATGTTGTCTATGTCGAAAATGGGCTAATGCTTCCAAAAACCACTTTTTTTCAAAAAAAAAAACAATTAAAAAAGGAAACATCAGAACATGAACGACATCACGTTTAGGTTGTTCACGAATGTAGTCTTGAATTTGGTCGCAAGACTGCAAGACAATCTTCAAATGCAAAACTCAGTTTGGAAAAAATCCGACTGTCAGAGTTTTATTTTTTTCTGCTGTCGGGATATATCTCAACGTGAGTTTGTTTACACCTATTTTGCCGCACCGCTGCGATTATCTATAAACATAAATTTCTTTGAATCGGCAGTTCAAAGAATGAAAAAAATATTTTGTGCTAGGCAGCGAAAAAAAAAATCTCCCATTTCAATAACACTCAAAATTTGCCACTATGTTGAATTAAACACAGTTTGTTGTGCTCAATTCTGCATCTAATCTTCCTCTCCGTTTTCTAATCGATCGCATTATTTATATGCTGTAAACCATATGTCACTCGGTTCAAATTATACAATGCCTTATTTTATATTATACTTCCTAAAATTCCACATGTCGCTTAGCTACTTCATGTAAAATATAAATTCAGAATCACTAATGTCATTCAATATCGCCCAATATTTTTGGTTATCTATGTAATTTCTGCTCACCACGCTAATTTTTTTATTAACATGTTCTACAACAAGTGTCCTTCCAACCCATAACTTCCTCGTATCAACATTTAAATACTGGTCACATTATACTCCTATAAATCTCCACGCCAATTTTCCCATTCGTCAATTTCCGGCTATAATACGCCTGTTCACTTCCAACAACTACATGTTACTGCCTCTCCCAAGCAGTCCCCTACGTCACACCGTTCATTCCGTATATCTCTCCGCTTGAGGACAAGCTCACTCTGTACCCCTAGGATGAGGTCAAGGTCGCTGTTTGGTTGCCCAATCCGCCTAAACCAACTCCTCCACTCAATCAATCTGAAGGTAATGGTACCCAAATCGAAGTTCTCTATGGTCTCGCCGTAACACGTGTACTCCTTACACACGTAACTCGGAAGACATTCAACAACAGCCGAACAAGCTCGAGGACGAGCTTTCTGAAGGAATGGAGATGTCGGGACGCAGCTAAGCTCCGCCTGCTGCTCTCCCGTGAGCTGGCCGAGAAGGTCAGATAGGAGCCAGTGACCCCCTACGACCGCGCACCGTAAGGCTGCCTTGTCAGTCTTCCCCCTTCCCCTTTCTTGTAATATATGTAGATAATAAATATATATAATACCAACCTGTACCGCTACACATCAAGCTAGGGCCCGTACACCCCTAGACTTGACAGACCCGCGAAAATTTTGGGGGGCATATGAAAAAATTCCGGAATGCGTGACTAACAACAACCTTCATCCAGAAATGTTGTCAACTCCCCCCCCCCCCCCTCTATCCGAACAGCAATCCCGCGTATGCCACTGATGGGGATTTATCACCTTCTATCGAGTTTATTACTGCCTTTTTACTTGGTGTTTGTGAAATTTTCCACTATGCTATTACCATAACCAAGGCTTTATACAGCAAACAAAATGGATGCCATCCTTTTAATCAGCATGTGGTTTCAGAAACGAAGGATACTTGATGACTGTGACCATTATGATACATCGTTACCAGTGGCGTACCCAGGATTTCGGCTCGGGGGGGGCGCGACAAAAATTTTTTTCTAAAGAAGGTGCGTGGCGTTAGCCACGCACTTCGAAAAAATTTTGGGGTGCTTCTCAAAACTTTTGCGGGTCCCCGACCCCTAAAATCTGGAAAAAGGGGGCGTGGCGTTAGCCACGCCCCCGAAAAAAAATTTTTTACAAGGCTAATTTGATTTTTTAAAAATTTTTAAAAATTATTTTAATTATTTACAAAAATAAACAAATCACTTGCACATTTTTATAACCCATATAAGTAACTTTCAAAAATTTCGCGACCCATTCTCGGGGGGGGCGCGCGCCCCCCCCGCCCCCCCCCCTCGGTACGCCACTGATCGTTACTAGATGCCCCTTCAAATGATGGTTCGAAATTTGTTTTCTATGTCTGCGACACGATTATCTAGCTGGTGTTATAAATTTTTTTTTCAAGGAAAAATGCACTATTATGGGAGCACAAAATCATCAACGCAAATTTTGTTGCTCTTTTGCCTGCTAAATTCAGATTAGTTAGTTTACGCGCAATCGTTTTCTGCCAAGCTTTTGTTCCATAACATCAAGCAGTGAAGTAGATCAACGTTGTGATTTTGACTGTACGGGAATGCCCAACTCTTTTTTCAGAAGAAAAAGTTCATAACTTTCTTCAGAAAATCCTTCCGCAGATAACGAGGGCAGATTTAAAATCAGGGTCTCGAGATGCATCTTCCAGTGTACATCCCATTTCGAATGGCCACAGTCACAAAGTATCCTTTCGTTGTCAGTGATCCACGATGTTGAGCTTATACAGGATGTCTACTGTCTGTCAAAGGAAAACAATTTTAACACTTCTTCTGCACGGCCTTTGTGTCACGTACGCGCTAAGAATCTCTAAGGCTCCGCAGCATTCATGAGTCATTCGTCTATTGCCATCAGCCGTCTCTCCCTCGGCATGGTTAGTTAATGATTAAACTATACAATTTGATGAAATTGAGCTTGTCCATTTTCTGTGCAAAATGCCTCCATTTTTCGCTGTTTTGCTTACAAATTCCAATTTTTGGCATAAATTCTAGGCAGAAGAACAGAAACTGTCCACATCTGACAAGCGTATGAAAATCAATGTTGGTGGAACAATTTTTGAGACTTATCTTTCTACGTTAAGAAAAGTAAAGAATAGCGTAAGTCATTTTGCTTTTTTTGCTTGTTATCGTCATCATGTCAGTGTCTGAAGGTGCTCTCCGCTATGGTAGCCGAACATTGGCGAAATGAGGAAGAAATGTTCGTAGATAGGGACCCGAATCTTTTCGTGAAAGTAAGAAAACAATGACTTCGGTATACATGATCAGCTATCGAGCTGATCCCTGATTTTAGGTTTTAGATTACCTGAGAGACGAGAAGAATTTTGTTCCCCCCTCTGACGATGATGTCAGAGAAGCTCTTGGAAGAGAAGCCGATGTGGTGCCTTGTTTTGTTTGAAGAAAAGAAACCTGTTTGAGATATATCATTTAGTTCTATTATCTACCTGGCCTTGTTAAATTGTGCTCGCCCACTATATTTTGCGTTGATGATGTTGTGAAATGGAAAGATAGCGCTATTGAATCGTACTGGAAGGCCTTCGCCATGTAAGATACATGATCAATATTAACACTTTCCCCATATATATTTAACTAGATAAAATTGCCAGTTTTCATCTGACAAGGGAAGGATGATCGGTCGAAGTGGCCACTTGAAACGAGCTGTATATTAGGAAACCGTCCTCGGTAAGGCAAACCCAAAACTTCTTTCGCTAGTTGCCGAGCGTTTTCGTGGGGGGGAGTTACGAGGCCATTTTTCTCCGGCGCAGCCAGCGCACCCAGTAATGAGCGAGGCAGTAGAACCGCGCAGCAGTGGCGCAGTGGCAAGACAGCGGACTACGAAGCAGACGGTCAGGGGTTCGAGTCCTGCTACTTTGTGTTGCAGTTTTGTAAAAAGTCTATTGGGTGGCAGTAAACGAGAAATGCTCATTGCTATGCAGTGAAACAAGCTATTTACTGCAAAAAGCCACAATTTCTACAGTCAACTAAAATTTCTACAATATGTAAATCTGTGGGGATTATGATGTCACAACAATAGATTCAAATGATATAAGCATGTATGGAACACAACAAAATGCTCAAGGCAGGAAAGCTTCTTGCAGGGCGCCACTTGCAAAATTGCAATCAATTGCAATCAGCAGCTTCATTACCTATCAAGGCAGGACCACGCATTTAAAGGCAAGTGCCAAGTATGCGCATATAGCAAGAAGCACTGCGTAGCAATGAGTATTTCTCGTTTACTGCCATCCAACAGACTTTTTACAAAATTGCAAAACAACGGCAGCAAAGGGACTCGGACCCTTGACAATGTGCTTCATACCCCGCTGTCTTGCCACTGCGCCACTGCCACACTGCTACTCTTTCTGGCAGCCTCGCTCATTACTGGGTGCGCCGGCTGCGCCGGAGAAAAATGGCCTCGTAACTCCCCCCCCCCCCCCCCACAAAACCGCTCGGCAACAAGCGAAAGAAGTTTTGAGTTTGCCTTACCAAGGACGGTCTCCTAATATACAGCTCATTCCAAATGGCCACTTCGACCGATCATTCTTCCCTTGTGAGCCGTGTTTTCTTTAGCTACATTCATGACCAAGGAGGATGCATAGCTTGCTCAGAGCATTCCCTCCTCTGGAAAAGTGTGATACCGCCTATGGACACGCTGAATTTTGAATATTACACACCGTTGAAGCATCACATGCGCTTCATGAAAGGAGTGGTGACAGCCGTAGTATAATTCCCTTCTCTAAAATATTTTATATTGAATTTTGCAGGCTTCGTATCCTTGCTGTTGCGTGCAGTGGGATTATAGACAACATCTTGATGCATTGCACATTCCACAGTCTGCATTGCGTTTAGCAGAGTAGTGCCATTTTTTCAATTTTACATAGATCGATAAATTCTACTACATTTAAACCTTTTGAGTTATCGGCTTGTCTTTTACTGGTTCTGGACTTGAGTGTATAATGTGCTTAGAGCAGTAAAGGATCAATCTTTCTGTTACATGTGTGCTTATAGAATGACTTCGAATATGAAAGTGAGAATTTTCATTTGGATGCTGCATGGTCGGAGACAAAACATAAATTCTTTGCAAGCATTGAGGTGCTCATATTTTCCACTTGCTGTGCACGTAAGCAATCAGAGACGGAGATAACTTCCTTGGAATGCTATGACGAGAACGAAATTCATCTCACAGTTGCAAATGACTTCCGGGGAAAACTGAAGTACTTAAACTTCCGGAGACATCCTGTTGTAGCTGCCAGGTAGGGCAGGGCTCACCCACACGGCCCAATAAGAGCGTCCACCCTGGAAGCTTTAGAAGTTCAGTTTTCCCGGAATCATTTGCGATTGTCTGAGATGCTAAGCCATTGAGAGAAAGGATATTAGAAGGATTATTAGGACATTGTTATTAGGATATGTTAGGATAGAAAGGGTCAAACCAAACCAGATTTGGAATAGTAGTCATATCTTTTTACTAATTATTGTAAACGTCCCTGTAAAGATCTGAACAAGTTGCACACAATACGAGGTCTTCGTACTGCGAACAAGAAAAAAGAAAAAAGAAAAAGAAATGTAATTTATTACACTTTTACTGCGAGAATGCCATTCATTCCGCATCATAAGGCCTTCATCTTTAGAGTAGACTTACAATTTGCATCTTTCCTTCAGTGAGAATTTGCCGTTTCAGTCAGTCTCCATTGCTCTCTTCCTTCTAGATTCGCTCTGTGTTCATCCCAAGTTTTTTATTATCTGCTTTTGCTGCATTCAGGTCATCCAGTTTAGCTCATTCTCTTGGCCTTTTTACTGGCTCGCTCACGCTCAGCGACATGGCCAATCTCATGTTTGAGTTTATAAGCTGGGTTTCAGAAGGAAATTTCACTGGTTCAGATTATATTGTCAGAGAAGCAGGATCAGGGGAGAACGCACTAAAAACACCAGTGCATACTTTCTTGCGCATCTCGAATTGTTAGCTTTGTTTAGAAAATCAAGGAAAAGCTGAATGAAATACATAGGCATGTCTTTCTCGTGGAACATCGACCGAAATGGATATAGGAACTGTGGAGTACTAAGGAAAAAACCTATATCATACACGAACCATATTATATCTCTTTATAAGCAGTTTAAAATTTTCTGTTGCTTGAGGCATCTGCACGTCTACTGTTTGGCTGCACGTGGTTTTTAACCCTTAGTTTGGTTTATCAAATAAGCTGATGGGATTTAACTTATCTTTTTGAAAAGTGCCCTTGTAAAACGTCATTTATTTGCTTACAAAAGCTGATGGTTGAAAACCCAGGCAGAAGAAGACAAACGTCTCAAACGCTGAAACTTGATGTTGATGAGACAATTATTGAAATGATTTTACTCACACCAACCACTTGAGGTGAAGCCTGCTTTTAGATCTAGTCGTGCTAATAGCAACTGCTCTTCATTATGGTATTAGAATGCTGGCGAAACGAGGAAAAACTGTTTTTAGATAAAAATCCACCTGTTCTACAAAGAGTGAAAAGTCTTTGTAGAAAAGTGATTTTATAGCTAAAGTACTGGGTTTCTGAGTTTAGTAGTGATCATCATAACCAAAACAAGTGCAGCAGTCGCACAAAACCTTGTCGCCATTTCCCCTTCTCCCCCCCCCCCCCCCCTCCCCTCACCCTCCTCTCACAAAATTACTCCGGATAAACAGGGGAGAAATGAAAATGCCGCTAAAGTGCCGCTGCTTTAATTCAGCAAAATGGAATTATGCGAAAAAAATTCAGATGACAAGAAATAGAACAACTATAGAGCAACTCCTTAAATTTCTATTTTCACCAGAAAAGCTTGTGTACAGAAAATTTGGGACATCGCTATCAAATCTCAGAAAATTGGCTCGTAAAAGCGACGAAGTGAAAGGATTGGACAGCACCCTGCAAAGAGATGCAGAGTTTGGAAGAATTATGCGAAAATAGGGCATTTTGGTTACCACAAGACATGAAAAGAGCAACCTCGAAAACCCCTTAATACGAAATTTGGTCTTGATTGGGGCAGATCACTCCTGAACTTCGATTTTGAAAGTTTTTAAAATCCCGGTTTCAGCATCTGGAGCAACTCTGGATAAGGGGAGGGGCTCTTCTGAGGAGCTCGTAATTATAGTGACTCCGAATGTGCCTCGCAGGCACATCACTTAGGTGCGAGAATATGACTCGGGTGAGAAACTTCCCGCACCCTCCAGATTTGCATGGGCACTGTTTTCAGCATCGACCACAAAAGCACAGTTCTTTATGCTCAAGAAATCGCGCAAAATATTTATGAGTTCATAACCAATTTACCTATTGCGTTGCATGATCAGAGATTCAAATGGTTCTCTGAGAAAGCAACTGTTATGGAAAAACATCCCTTAGTCAACTTAGAAAAGGAGGAAAGTGCTAGACATTGAGGACGGCACACAAACCAGATCTTTCTTTCGCAAAATACATGTATGAACTGAAAGAAACTAATTCGACTCTCATGTACAGAAAGCGCGACGACCGATGTTCCTGGCAAAGGGTGGAAGTGAAATATTAGATGATCTATATTTTGATTTAGAAAATTATCAACTGCTAGAGAAAAAGGTTGTCTTGTGCATTTCGGAGAAAAAGGTGTTGCCAAAGTAGAAGCCAATTATTTGCAATTGTTTTTCGATTCTGCGTATGCCTACGCATATACGCCATCCCCTTTTTCGCGTAACGGGAGGGAGTCAGCTATGTGTGGCCAAACTACGTTGCATCGTGCTGGGACCCAATCGAGATCGTGTTGTTTTGATGATGGCCTTGGTCTAGACGTTTCACAATAATCGCTAACTGTGCACTATGGTGAGTTTCATGTTTCATCTGCTAAGCAGTGGCGTACCGAGGGGGGGGGGGTGGGACAAATTCTTGAAAGTTACGTATATGGCTTATAAAAACGTGCAAATGACTTGTTTGTACTTGTAAATAATTAAAATAATTTTTAAAATTTTTTAAAAAATCAATTGAGCCTTATAAAAAAATTTTTTCGGGGGCGTGGCTTTGGGGTTATGGGCCCGCGAGAATTTTGTGAAGCATACCAAAAAAATTTTCTCGGTGCGTGGCTAAAGCCACGCACCTTCATCCGAAAAAAATTATTGTCGCCCCCCTCCCCTCCCCCCCCCGAGCCGAAATCTTGGGTGCGCCACTGCTGTTAAGGTAGATAAAATCAAAGCCATTTGATCGATTGACCGCAACCATAAGTTTTTTCATCTGCCCTTGTCCACAGAAGCGTTTTTTTTTTCAAGGAGTAGTTTAACTTCCAACTTGTGGGGAGCGCGTACGAGTTGATATTGGTGGAAATGATTTGATACATGCTTCCACTATTACCGGCGCATGAGGCAGTATGTGTTCGCTCATCCATAAACTCATCCATAAACTCGATCTGTCTACAGTCGAGTTTCCGCTTGATATAGTGTGCATAGCAGCTGAGCCGCGATAAAATTTGCGCGTAAACGGTTGCGCCAGTAATGCCGACATTTTGCGCGCGCACTTGGCAGGCGTCACAGGGGTAGCTATTTGTTCACGCGCAAATTTTACCGCATACCTGCAGTGCAAGCACACTATATTAAGCGGAAAATCTACTCGACTGTATGTGCTAAGGTGCTCGCTGGTATAGAGCACGGTAGAAAGTGGGAGGAGCTCTTCGTTGAAGTTATGTAAAATTTTGAGTAAAATTGAGACGCCGATTTTTCTAGAGGCCTTTTTCTAGGTTCGCGTAAATTTGTTACATAAAAATTTTTAGGCGGAAGAACACAAACTTGTTTCACATGGCACGCGTGTGAAAATCAATGTTGGTGGCACAGTTTTTGAAACGTATCTATCTACTATTACGAGATTGAATGATACCGTGAGTTGAACTTTTATTTCTGTACATTAGATTCATGCTAATCTTAAGATGCTCTCTGCCATGGCAGCCGAACGCTGGCGAAATGAAGGGGATTTGTTTGTAGATAGGGATCCAACTCTTTTCGCAAAAGTAAGAACCAGTTGCTTTGTATCAAGCTATTTTTCCAGCTTTCTAGATATTGGAGTATCTGAGAGATGAAGGGAGTTTCACTCTTCCTCCAGAAGATGATGCTCGAGAAGCTCTTCGTAAAGATGCTGAGGTGAGATCTACGTAAAGATCCTAGAAATAATGCTTAAAACTATTATAGTTCTACAATATTCCCAGTCTAGCGAAGATCTGTGTATTTAATGTCGATGAATTCAAAGTTGGGGATCGGGTTCAGTGGAGGGAAAGCCTTCTTGAAGAATACTGGAAGTTCTTCGTCAGGTAAAAATTTGATGTGTAGTGCATCTAGCATTTCATTGTTTGGAACTTTAAGAACTGTTCAATATTCTCAAAAAGATATTTTGCAAGGTATCAGTACGATGTTGAACACTGGGAAGGGAGGGCGGTTACATGCATGGCTTGCGGATGTCTTGTTGACGGATATGTAGGTCCCACACCAACCTCGTTCAAAGAGGACGGAAATCCCTGCATTGTATATGAAAGCTGGGTGCTTTTAAAGCATCATATGATGATTATGAAAGGAACAGTGACACAGGTTAGAAATACCAGCTCACGAATTTAGGTAGTCAGTATATCATTTGTAAATATAAATGTTATAGGTTGATGAGCAATGTTGTCGCGTAAAGTGGAGTTCTAACTGGGAGCTACATCATCCAAAATCTGCACTGCGTTTATCGAGATAATTATATTCTTTTGATTATTATTTCCACGTTTTTGATCCATGTTCATGTAGATGTCTCTTTTCCATTCTGTTCGGTTTTTGATCAGTTAATTGACCTACTGTATACGTGATGCACATTATAACGCTTTGCTAACAGATCCTTACTCAGTGCTTACAAATGTCCAGTGTTGGCGCAGTTTGGCAATGTCTATTGTATTTTTGACTCTAGAAAGAGTAAAGAAGCGTTACCTGAAAATTTAGAATTGTGCCGAATGCTGCTGAAGGTTAGCCTCGAACTCTCAGGCCTCTGAGAAGTACAAATGATTTCAAGAGTTCTGTCTGATGCTTGAGAGGCGTCAGTGGTTCTCTGCACTGAGTATTTTTCCTGTTGAGGTTCTCAATTATCTATTATTTTGAAACGCACCTCATGAGTGTTTTTTTGCAAAATTATCAGTGTAAACTTTGAAGCAGAAGAATTACCAACAGCTGATGCTCACAATCCCTAGTATTCGAGATATCTTTGATCCATCTGCTCTGTTAGGTTCAGGTACGTAGATAGTTTGTGAAAGGCATATTACAAAAAATAGTAATGCAGGAATGCTCAATGGAGAACAGATCACATGTTAAACCAGACCTTACCCTAGAGACGAGTAAGAGAGTTTGCTATGGCTCTTCGTACATAGATAGTAAGTGCGGTGTTTTTTTTGAGTGCATATTAAATGACTTGGAATTCTGGTTTGAAGAAAGTTGCTTATAATAGAAATTTAACTTTTTCATTACTGTGACTTCAATGTGCGTAATCTGTGCAAGTTGATAATATTGTGCATAACTGAAGAAAATAGTTTTGTGACGGACGTTCAGAGTACTGATAACCCCGCTTCCCATTCACATGAAGAAAATAAACAAGCACCATTTCTTGTTATTATTTGGTTGGAAACTGAGTTTTGCAACTTTTCACATAATTTTACTTTCTTTGAATATGGCGCTCTTAACTTTGATCGTAGATCGTGTGCAGTGCTACATTTGGGTACACACTGTTCGAAGACGAAATAAAACTGGTGATTTTGGGGATTTATGGGGTTATGCGCAAAAATACGACCTAGACACCATGCGCGATGATTCGAAATTGTGTATGAACTAGAGTTTGAGTTAATTTTCTCCATTCAAAGACAAGTCGAGATTTTGCTTCCATAAAGTTGAACGAGTCGCTGTACGCAAGGCTGCTGAGGATACCAGTCAATGATTAGGGAGGTGGGACCCCAAAATTTTCCGAATTCACACAGTGGGGTTAGTTGATTGACGAACACAAATATCCAGTTCACTTTTGAATCAACTCCTCTTTTCTTGTTAGCGCAGACCCCATGCCGTAAACTTACAGTCAAAAAAGCCCCTTCATGCAATTTCGGTATCGTTTTCGTGATTAGCATGTCGATGACCCCCCGCCCATGCCAAGTTTCCTTATCCCCTTATACCATATACCTACCGTATCCCTCATTACGACATCGGTTGGCAGCAGCTGCGTTTGTAGCCTTACACCATTATCTACATAATGGCATTATTGAAGAAGTTGCGAAACTTAGTTCCCAACCTTATAGACCCTTTCTGGATTCCTAAGTTGAAAATCGTTTGCACAATTAGCTTTCTTATGAGAAGTCCTCCAGTCGAATAGAAATTTCGAGAATCTGAGAAGTAGAGCACATCTTGAATCAAAGAATTTCACAGCTTCTTTTTGCCCTTTCTTTGTGTCACTTGCCCGCTGAAATTCGTGCCAGCTCCGCTAAAATCATGACTCATTCGTCTTGCCATCAGCTCATCTCGCCTTCAACATGACTAGTCAATGATTATAACTTATCCATTTCTTCTTGCGAATTGCCCCCATTTATTGAGTTGTTTGCTTGTAAAATGATTGTTGAAAATAGATTCTGGGCAAAAGACAGAAACTTTCCTCGTAAGCGTGTGAAGTTTAGTGTTAGTGACAGTTTTCGCTTAGCTTTCTACCGTGACGAGAGTAAGTGATAGTGTAAATTGAACTTTTGCTTTCATGCTTGTTAGCTTCATCATGCAGGTGAGAAATGCTTTCCACTATGGTGCCCCAACGCTGGCTGAAGAGGAACTTTTGTGGTTAGAAATCCATGTGTTTGCATCAGTATTCTAGTGTGATTGTATTCTTCGACCATTGTAAGCCAAGTTATTTCGGAGAGAGATTATTCCCTTGTTCCAACTGAAGGGTCTTGTAAAGCTTTTCGAAGAGAATTTGAAGCGTGTCCCTTCAACAAGAATAAAAATTCGCTGAAAATATCATTCAGTTCTATAATCAGCCCAAATTAGCCAAGATGTGCTTGCCTAAAGAATTTCTCTTAGTGATGCTGGAAGGAGAACGTATCGAATTTCAGTGGAAAGTATTGTGAGGCAGAAAGCTCATCCTCACGCCTTCTTGGAATTTTTACTATACTAGTACTGCGCTTGCAAACGTATGACAATCGAAGGTAATAATTGTCTTAGGTCGAAGAAAGATGTGTGTTCTACAGGATGATCTGCTTATTCTTACTTAGATATTCAGGCCCGAATTCACGAGGCGTGCGGGCCCAGCAAAGAAGTTTGCAGTCCTGGAAATTTCCACATTTTCAGCTTCTTAAGTGTTTTGCGGAAGAAAATTTTGACATGATGGTAACGTGATCTCAAAATGATAGTAATTAGAATTTTAGAGTGCACAGAAATCTGCTTAACGTACAGGTGACATACCGAACATGATTGCCGTACTCTATCGGTACGCTATCACTTATTGTAGGGCTCCCACGTTTACAGTATCGATATGTAACTAAAAAATAACACAGAAAACTGAGAAGATTAGATGCGATATTTGAAATAAGCATCAACCCCTCCCTACTGCCCATTTTCCCCTCCCCCAAGCTAACTTTTGAATAGCTCTAGCCAACTTTGCTACTTTACAGCTGCTTTACGAACCAGGGCTTGGCAGAGGTGGCTTTTAAGCAAGCTGGATATCGTTTTTGGGACAAAAAGCAAAGAGGGTTTCGTTTTTGTGGCCGAAAAGACACAGAATTTGCGACGTTTCTTTAGTCGACGTTTGGTTTTATGAAGGAATTCTAGGGATTTGGTCTGGGTCAAAGGTAACTTCGTAAAAATTCGCAAAATTCAAGGGGAACTTCGTTTTTTGCATTTTCAACTAGCCACCTCCTGCCGAGTCCTGTTAGGAACCCAAAACCGCCTTCTGCAAGCACGGTGTTTTTGAGTCTCTACAGTGGCGTACCCTGGATTTCGGCTCGGGGGGGGGGGGGGGGTACGCCACTGGTGCTCTACACTTGATCACGGTAGTTTGCAAGGTAAGAAGATTGAAAGCCTTGAAACATCCTAACCCTTGCACGCTGGGACCCGCGCCAAGTACGCCGCTCCAGAACGCCGCTGTTCCCCATCTGTAGCCTAAGTCAAGTCACGGCAGACACAAATTGGTGTGCTTTACGCTCTCACGTTCTTCAAAGTCATTGTTATGCATGTAGTCTTCCGATAGACGTAGTTTCAGGCAGAAATGGACGAACGTCAAAGTAGTGGTGAACGAGTCAAAATCAACGTGGGTGGCACAGTGTTCGAAACTACAGTCTCCACACTGACCAGGATAGATAATACCGTAGGTTTAAATTTACTTTCTTGCGAACCTTCGACATAGTCGTAATCGTTAGATGCTCTCCGCGATGGTGGCAGAACGATGGCGGAATGGGGAGGAGTTATTTGTGGACCGAAATCCAACTCTTTTCGCAAAGGTGGTACAAGTATACGTTCTTTACATTTAGGAACGTCTAAAGCTACCTTATGTTCACAAATTACGTTGACAGTTGAATCTGAAATTGTCTTATCATTTTTGAAAAAAGTTTCTCTTCCTCTTTCCTTTTTCCTGAAACTTTCTGCATCCAGTAGACACCTTCCTTGCATCAGGTTGTCGGATAATTTCTGTTACACTTTTTATTTTTGAGAATCCAAGAAACGTTCGAAAATTCTTATGTCCAGGGAGTGTTGATGGGGCAAAGGTCTACTCACCGGTACTGTCATATCCGTGATCTGTACGCAAAACATCCACTTCATCGGTGGGAGTACGTTTTATGGACATTTTTGTCAACGGTCCGGCACCCAGGGGGCGGTATTTATCAATCTCCTGCATAGGAGGGGGTTCTCCTACAGGTCACAGCCCGTACAGGCGCAAGCACTGGCGCCCGCGATTGAAGCCAAGTTGGTGCCGGGCTCCTGTCTATTGTAGAAAATGTTCCGATCTGGCAAGTTCGGCCATTTCGGGCACGGCAGTTGGGGAGCAGTTCCCCATCTCGACTAGTCGGGTCTTTTATAAATCGCGGAAAGGGCGCTCTCGCCTGTGCGGGTTCTCGGTAACAATGACCCGCACAGCGAGTGGGAGATTGATAAATACCGCCCCAAGTGATAAGGGGAGAACGGGCAATGTGGTTATGGCCCGTAGTTTTTAGCAAATATAGGGGATGGCACATTCATATCACCACACGGTTACATAAGCGGAGTTCTCATTTTAGCATGAAGAACTATCTTTGAAAATTTACCAAAATGACTTGCGTCTCCCCATATCGAATCCTACATGATGCTTATAAAAAAAAATTTCCGACAAGCTTTTGATTCCTTTGATTCATTTGTTACCCCCTCGTTTTTTCCATGCAAGCGGCACCAAGGTTCTGGCAATTGAGACGGTGCGAAAATATGCAATAAAAAATTATAGGAGAGAAAAGACGCAATTATACGCAGAGAAAAAACTTCAAGGACATAGTGGCTTTTTCGAGCTTGCTTACAAAGTTGTAGTAAGTTGCTAGCTGTTTGTGCATTTGCGGCATCAAGCATTCTGTGTACGCCCTGTCGTACCCTAAATAGATATCGAACAAATTCGGAGACTTCCGGAATCTTTCGGAATATTACAAAAAAAAAGTGTAACAGAATTCATCCGACAATCGAGACTGTTTCGATGATTTCTCTATGGCTGTCGCTGTGTTCATCTACTGAAGTCACAATTTTCCAAAATCATTTGTCATCGTGTTTTCTGGATACACGCTAATCTTTTCAGATATTGGATTACCTGAGAGACAGTGGTAATGTTACTCTCCCCAAAGGAGATGCTGCTCGAGAGGCCATAAGAAAAGAAGCTGACGTGAGTTTGCAGAAAAAGACTAGTCTTTGACTCATTTGAAGTCCTTCTTACCTTATCATTTCCAGTTCTACAACCTTCCTGGTCTTGCCGAGATGTGCGTATCCTACGCATCCACAAAAAGAGTTAGTGACCGCGTGTCACGTATCGCCCTTAGCGATACTGTGCAGTGGAAGAAAAACTGTATCGAAGTGTACTGGAAGCATCTTGTCAAGTAGAGCATTTGACATGTCTTACCGTACCACTTGTTCTACAGCAAAAGCAGTGCAGGTTTCTGAAGTTATGGTAAAAGTTTGTTTAAGGAATATATACGAACGCGAATTATGGCGGTATAAAAAGAATCTACAATGTATGGCCTGTTGTAAGTATGTATATAACTACGTTGGCCCCTCAACCTGGGGCGGTAATGTTGAAGCCAGTAAAACTGTGATCAACTACAAAGACTGGAAAGCGATGAAGCGGCATATGCTCTACATGAATGGAATCGTGTGGGAGGAGGTAAATACCAGAGTTCGTAAGATTTTCAATTTCCTATTCGAGAACTTGCAGCCTGATGAGACCTGCTGCTGTGTTAAATGGAATGATGAGTGGTTTACACACGTTCCACTATCTGCATTGCAAAGAGTGGACTCGGAATAGTGCCGGAAACTTCCACGTCTTCTTAACTCGTTATCCTTCACGTATTGGCTCAACAGCTTCTAGTTTTTATCATACATTTTTTTTTGTTGATAAACGCTTACCGGTTGAGGTATCGTATTACAGTTCTTATACAGCGAATCCTGAAAAATTGCAAAGTCTCAGTTTACAATAATACTGACAATCACAGAATTTGTAATGATTTTTGAATCGGCATCGAGCATGAATGCTTACTCGGGTTTCAGAGTTTATTAGCTGAGAGCATTGCTCATTGACAATTCAGTGAAGTTCAGAACGATACCTAGACTTCTTATGTTTTTTATGATATTGGCTGAGGAGCATAGCTGCGATAGGGAGAGGGGGGTGGGCAATGTTTATCTCACTTTGAAGCCAAAATCTGGATGACCCCCTTCACCTGAGACTGAATTTTTGCGGTGGTAATCTATGAGTGAACCATGATCAAAAAGCTATTGCGGTTTTAGCACCTCCGCCGTAAAACACAACGGCCGCACCTTTTATAAAAAAAAAAACAGTGTCTTTATCGATCAGTCATGCTTTTTTCCCGCATTTCCAAAAGCGTCTTAATATTATAGATGCTATAATATGGAGATCAACTAATTAGAAAAACAAATAAAAATGAGAAATTATTTGAATTTTATGAGAATCAACGGTTGTTGCTTGTATGCTGCCGCTTTCTGCCTTTTTTCTTTTGCACAATTTTTTGGACAGTTTTGTCACGGTTTTGAGATAGGTGGACAGCTAGACACCTTTAGTTGTGAGAGGCAAATATCTCCACAAACAAAAACTAATGTAAAGGCTACTGCATAACGAAGGCGCAATAGCAGTATGAGTTGAGCGGGCGCGAACGCGGCGCGCGCGTATCCTCACCGTTGTAAATCCTGCGCCTTCTGCGCTCTGCTGCTAATAAAGCCGCGTTCGCGCCCCAAGGACATTGCGCCTTCGTCATGCAGCAGCCTATAGGTCTATAGCCAGGTCGATGCTGCAAAGGAACAAAGTCTTGCTAAAAATTGCAAGGGAGGTAGAAAAAGTCGACAGTCTACGTCGATTCTCCATGATTTCAGCTTCAAATGGTATATACTAGCTTGTTGGGGCAATTCGCTTCCTGGCTCAAAAAAATGCTTGATCCGATGACCCATTGAAGCCCATTGAGGAGCGGGGTGGAGCAAGCTAATAGTAAATATTATAGTTCCATCAACTTTTTAGAAATGATTTTTTTTCTCCGACACTACAATACCGCTCACAGAATGTGCAAAATTTCCGTAAATGTCGCGAAATTCCGAAAATTCCGCGAAATTTCCGGAATTTCGCGAAACTTCGCGACATTCCCGAAATTTCGCGAAATTCCGGAAAGTTCGCGGAAATTTCGGAATTTCGCGACATTCACGGAAATTTTGCACGTTATGAGAGTGGTATTGTAGTGAACCCTTTGAGTCAATCTAACAAGGGAAGGACGCTGGGTCGAAGTGGGGTGTGCTGGTCTTCTTGCACTAATACCAAATCCACGTCCCTTAACTGCTCAGTGATCTTCTGGGAGAAGTTATTAGTGATGGTTTCCCAGGATGACCGCGGATCGCTTAAGTTAGTGACGCCGTGAAATGTTAGTTGTGGAAGGATGGGCGAGTGGATAGCTGCGGATACTATAGATGAAATGGTAAAACGTTCAAATTGCTTATGTTCGGAGCATCTTCCAATGTGGATTTTCGGATTTGCGGATAACCTCGGGTAAGTGGATTTTCTGGAATTTTGTGCTCAGACGCTGCTTTTAAGAATACACTTTGAGCCAGCGCACTCAATAATGAACCTCATTCAAGGGACTGACAGGGCTTTTTGAATGGCCTAACACGCACTTAATTGGAAGTGTGATAGCTTTAGTAAACGTTGATTGTAATTTTTTCATAGACCCACACTGGGAGTAAACGTTATAGGACAAGGGGCTGTTTAGCTTTTGACTAATACCGAATTGTTATTATTAACTTTTATAACGGCACATATAATAGAGCATGCGGCTATCTTGCTTTTTCATGCAGCTTTCATTTTATTGCGGTAGCTTGAAAAGTCTGTGAACATCTCATACAGCTAACATCTTTAAGTGAGCCTATTCGTCTCTAAAAGCATATTTTACAAAGTTGTACGAAAGTTTAGCCAGTTAATCTATTTATGAATGTTTGAGGATGTTTTCTATACATTCCTCTATGCGTGCATCGATTGAGCTGAAACTCTGGAAACATATGTTTTCAACCTCTAGAAGGTTCTAGGTCATTTTTTGGGGCGATTTGCTAGCTCTTCTATAGACTTGTTGATTTTTGGCATCTTGCAGTAAGAATGATTTTTATGGACCGCATTCAAAACACTTGCATAGTTTCGTAAAAATAAGCAGCAGAGCTCTTTTCATTTGGCGATTGGCACGATGCCGTGACTCAAAAAAGCCATTAGTAAGCTTGTATTGGAATAGGGCCGTGAGGGACGGGGAACGGGAGGGAAGAGCGAGTCAGATCAGTAGAAAGAGATGGATGAAAAATTTTTTGACAAGCCGCAAGAGGAGAGAAACAGTTTTATTTTTGCTGAGCAAAATTCGTGCGCTGTTCGCGTTCGAGTGATGACATGCTACGGGCAGCAAAGCGGATCCGACTAGGGTTTCACGAATGTTTAAATTTTTTCAGTTCGTTGACACTCCTTCACGGCATACTAGGAATAGAGAACTGTTGGCGAGATCCACGATAGTGATAAGCATGTTTTTGTTGTACAAACGAAGTGAAGTCATCCCATATTCGTTACCCCCACCTGCAAGCTGTGCATAAGAGGCTTCATCATCCTTTCGAGGAATCGATAACTCTTTCAACACTATCTCCGTATTTTCTTTTTATATAAAAAAACACCTTTAAAATGAGCGTGGACCCCCAAGGATCCCCCAAGAATCAACAAAACACCGAAATTTACAGCTTGACTGGAATGAGTATTGCTATTGCATGTCTTCAAAGCAAAAAATCTAAAACTCCTTTTCCAAGTTCCTTTTCGACGGTAAGAGTGCGTGCATACAGGTAATAGACTCTCAATTCGCTTCAACCAAAATGCCATGTTTAATTCAAGAAACAACAAAAAGTTTTTCTTTACTTTTTCCCCAAAGTACGTTCTCAAATTTGCATTTTTATTGAACATAAAATTGCTGTTTCAGAATGCAGCCAGGGTTTTACTCTTTGTTCATTTCTATTTTCGGATACATAAAACCCATAACGTCCGGATTCTCAATGTGCGAAACTCATACAACCTTGTATTAAGAAAATCGTCCGCTTCCATGACATAGCTGACACACTCTTTGTGTACCATGAAAGGTTCAGTGCTTTGATCATTACAGTGGTCAAGTTTTAAAACGTTCATTTTGTGTAGACTGTCATGTTTTAAATGGCATTAAATGTAGTGAGCAGCCTCAGCCTAACTAATCATCGCGGTAAGTTCGTACTTCGTTTTGAGTAATGTACTCTAACAAGGAAAGAATACTTGGCAAAGTGGCTTTTCGACAGAAAATGTGTACTTCAGGGAGGGGAGTTACGGATATCTTTTTCGCAAAAATTTTAAGGCTCAATTACAATAAAATTATACAGAAGTGTTGTCTGTAAACTTGAATGGCCAAGGCGCTTCGTGCAGTTAATACCTTCAGTTAAATAATTCAAACTAGTTGTCACTCCACTTCAAGCGCTGGAAAGACCTCAACCGCGTTTTTACCCTAGCCAAAACCTTAAATTTTTGCTTCAAGAAGTTCTCACAACTCCCATCCTAGAAGCGTTTTGCAGATAATGAAAACAGATTTGGAATCAGGGTTCCGTACTCTGTATGACAACATACATCTCGCGTGGATACTGCACTTCGATCAAGTATCGTTCCTTTGTAATAGCACTTTGTAGCTGACCGCCTAAGCTAAGGGTGCCTCCATTACCGCGCCGGTAGGTATGGGCAGTCGTCAACCATCTTTAGCAGCTGTCAGTCGCCGTTAGCCGCTCTGGCGCTAATTTAAATTAGTTGACTCGTAAAGACTCGTAAAGTGAAAATAGCGCTAAAATTTTGTCTAGAATGTTGTTTAGCACGCTGATCACATACAGGGTGCCCAGAAAAAAGTACCTACCGTTTGATTGTAAGTAACTTGTCGAGACGCAGACTAATTAGATGGTCCGACAGTCCCTACGCCAACTGGGCGGTGCCCAGCAACTCCAGATGAGCTGCCTAACCGGGTGACCGGCGGTTTCCCTTCCCCTCTCATTCTACTTATAAATATATAATAAAGATTCTAGTCATAATGTCATGTTCATATAAAGTAAGGCAATCAGGGTGAAGGATTCAAGTCAAGAGAGTGCACCTCTTGGACTTGACAAAAGCCGTGCGTTTCTTATAAGCCCTTTTCCCCTTGTCCAATTATGAAGAGAAGTCAAGCAACTAAGCAACGAAGCGATCAACAACAGCATGCTCACCAAAGCAACGATCAAATGGTACATGGGCAGTTTTGATGACGATAATGGTATCAACAACACCCTCTTGCCCTCAAACGAAGCAATGA